CCTCTTCAAGTTTTCACCCAGAAAGAAAGGAGCCTATCAGGGTGAAGCTTGAAAATCCAGACGTGGAAGAGGATTTGTTTTGTGTAGCTCAAAAAGCAAAAATGAAGGTGACTAACAATGTGAAGCTTGAAATAGGAGACGTGGAGCCTATCACCCAGACGTGGAGCCTCTTCAAGTTTTCACCCAGAAAGAAAGGAGCCTATCAGGGTGAAGCTTGAAAATCCAGACGTGGAAGAGGATTTGTTTTGTGTAGCTCAAAAAGCAAAAATGAAGGTGACTAACAATGTGAAGCTTGAAATAGGAGACGTGGAAGGTAATTTGAATAGTGCAGCTTATAAAGTAAAAGGTATGTCATTCTACTTTTTATGGCTACTCTCACGGATACTGCTTGTTTGGTAACATGAGGATCTTCCTTTGTGGTGGCCATTTTGTTGAATTATATTGTTAAACATGACATAGATGACAGCTTCTGAGATGACAAATACATGGCAAGAAAAAGGCTATACCCTCATAGATGCACAATGTTCCAAGTTGGGGAATCCATACTTCATTGTTTCTATGCAGCCGACTTATGTCTCAAGAAATTTCCGCTTGGTAAGCTTTCAGTCAAGAGATGGTCAGTTCATTGCCTTTGGATAGATGTCGAGTCCTGCTGTCCTTAGGGGTCAAGTGTCCTTTGTTTTTAGTCTGTTGAAGGGGAAGTGGGTAAAAGAACTCAGAATCTCTAAAAAGAGTATCTCTTACAACAATTTCTGTTTTTCCAGGATATACCTGGTAACTTCTTCGGGAGATATTTCAAAGAGAAGGAAACCATTGTCATTCTGCGAGCTCTGATGGGAGAACTTGGCATGCAAGGTGCTCTTTCCAATCAAATTGTGCGAGGATCCGCTCACCAGGTTGGAGAGAATTTGCACTAGACAACGGTTTAAAAGTGCATGATACTTGTGTCTTTGAGCTGATGGAAGGTGTCGAGCCAATGATATATGTAACAATTTTCCGTGATGATTCCTGTTCCCTGAAAGACAATCTCCCAATTTGCTGGCAAGGTAGGGATAGCATCACTGTACTTTAGCTTTACTATCCATCTTCTGTTGATCTTGAGCTCTTCTTGAAGGAGTTAAGCCTATTACAGATTCACTGAGCTCAAGGATATTACATGTATTTCCTTCATTCTGGTTGAGTTAATACCCTAAAACCCGCCTAAACTATATAACCTTTGTCAGTTGCCTACCTAAACTATCGTTTGTCCCTGAAAACCCCTTGAACTATGTCCCCCTTCACAATAAAACCCCTTAGCGCATTCTTACTAGTGCTTATAATACACGCTCCAATTTTTATTTTTTTTAAAATCTGCCATGGATATTTGTTTAGCTTAATCTAAAAAACAGACTTAATTAAGATTTTAATACTCTTTATTATATCATTGTAAAAAATTATACAGTAAAAATAAGAAAAAGGGGATGGCTACACCCTTCTGTCAGTAGCGATTTTCTCTATTAATCTTGGTTCTAACCTCAATTGCTTTGTTTATTCTTGCTTCTGTTCGAAAATTGTGATAAAAATTAGGGTTATGCTCCTGAGTTGACGAGAATTTCAGAGAATCGGATGGATTCAGATGAAGAAATGGAGAAGAAAATTAAAAAGATGAGGAAGGAAGGTGAAATATATTATATAAAGAAAAAGAGGAGAAAAAAAAAAGAAATATAATTTTTTAAAAAGAAGGGCTAATTAGCCATTAAATACTGTCAGATGGGCCATTTTAATGAGTTTTTTTGGCCTTCACACGCTCTTTGACGATTTAATACACACACTATGCCACATAAGCGACGATGGGGGTTTTATTATGAAGGGGATATAGTTCAAGGTATTTTCGGAGACAAACGATAGTTTAGGTAACTGACAAATGTTGTATAGTTTTAGACAGGTTTTAGGGTATTAACTCATTCTAGTTACTTTCTTAAGATTGAGCTCACCAGTATTATGTGCAATTAAGTATCCTTACATCTATTTAGCAATTGAAGTCCTCTCCATTTGCTTAGTTTCTGTTTCCTGTGACAGGTTTTCGTGCTTGCACAAGTACTAGCAATTCTCAGGCACTATGAGAAACTTTACAATGATAGCAGCTTTTATGGTATACTAGATTTACCTCGTCTTTGGTCATCCCTTTCCTCTAGTATTTAGTATCTTCATTTCAAACTGAAATATTGTACTATTTTTTATTCCATGTCTACTTCTTGTTTTTTGGTTGAAACGGACATAATTTTAAAAGGTTTGGGTAAACAATAGTGCTATCCTTGCTTTTAATTTCATTGATTGTCCTTCTATTACTCTTCCCAACCTTATTATTGGAGGGGCAGTTCATTCATTGAGCCAATTGGCCTCATATTATGTCGAACTCTGCATTGAGCCAAACTATTCTCCTCCATCTTCCTTTCTCATAATCTGCCTCTTTCTGGAAAAACAAAAAAGGGAGAGAGAAGATAAATCTTTTAATGGGGCTGAGCATTTTAATTGGTTACTGAAAATTGATTCTTTTTTTAATGATTGCGCTGTTGAATCATCCATTATTATAGCCTCAAAGTCAATTCTGCAAAAAAAAAAAAGTATAAGATCTTTAACAGTTAGTCTTGCACAAGTAATGTGAAGTCAATTGGCACCCAGGGGAATTATTCACAAATCAACAGATTCTTTAAAGAGATACTGTTCATTCCACCATGGAAATAAAACAAATCAAACTGCAAAGTTGATGCCTTTTACAAATGTACATTTTCAAGCCTAATAATTGAAGTTATAACCTGTAGAAAATAGACCCATAATTGAGAGTAGGTAAAACCTGGTGTGACAATTTTACTTCAGTAGCATAGAGGCTTATCAGAGAAAATGTAGCTAACTTGAAAAGAAAAAGCACACACCTAACGCAATGGAAATGTTGAGTGCTAGGAAAATGGAATAGGAATTGAGAAAGCTGCCAGAAAGTGAAAACGAACAGCCAGATTGTAGGTTCCGACTCATGAAAACTCAAGATTCAAGATTTACTGAATACAGCTCTCTGTTTTAAATGGTATCCAGAAATGTCCTTGGCATAAATACAAAAAATATGGGTGGATACGAATGCCATCGACATGTCACCCAGGGAGGAGGAGCAACGGCATGGGCAAGGCTATCTGCTATCCTCCGGCCTGCAAAACTAATAAGGAATATACTGTTTGTAATCTGCAACTAGGTTTGTAATTGTCCCTCTTGGTTGTTAGAAATGCACGGAACAATAAATTGATGGTAATCTAGTCCCACTCATTTCTGATTACAGATGGTAATCCAAAGATGATATATTATCTAACCTATCTAGTCTTTAAGCAGCTGGAAAAGCTAACACGTAAAAGCCAGAGACAATAACTCATACATACAAGTGAAACAATACTGCTTTTTAAGCATCAAAACTCAATCCATGTTCTCTAGTTACTCATTTTTAAAACGAGTGCCAAAAGGAAATGGTTTCTCTTGAAATGTGCTCCTCTTCTTCTTGCTCCTCTACTCCCTTGAGGTAATCAGAAATGATACAACCAGATTGCAGAATTATGACAATCTCCAAAATCAGAATTGTAAAGTAAGAAGCATGCATAGTTTCAGAGCAACATTTGCGCAGTTATTTAAGACTTTGAAATCAACAAAATCACTGAAAGTTCTTACATCAGTTTAAGGCCTTGTATGGGAGTGCAGTAACTTTTAGATAAGTAGTTTTTCCAACACTGCTATTACACTTTAATAAGTGTAGGGTACACTATTTGTAGAGCACTTCAATTGTCTAAGAAGGAAAGACTTTAGAAACTTTTGTCTAAATATAAAAATGTATCATTCCTTTTGTAACAAACTAAAAACGATAGTGCATCACATAAATTGAGACAGGCGGTATTTCATTTTGGTTTCCAAAATAATTTTGTGTCTCAAACATTCTAAATTTTATGGTGTCCATTTCAGGGACATCTTAAAAGTTTCTTTTTCCACATGTGCCCAGATTCATTCATGAGACCTGAAAGTCAAAATTAATGAGACAGATAAATGATATATCTTGGAGATAACTTGATGACAACACAGAAAAGAATAAATGATTATCATGGAGAGAACTTGATGACAACATTGACATAAACTATCACATATACTGTCTCATAGCATTCTCAAAGAACAACATGAGCATAGTATCTAACAGAATCTCAAAGCCTTCATCCAGCCTTTAGAAACTAAAATCTGATAAATCTACTTGTTAAAGATAAACAATCCTTACCATTATATTATGACACCACCGAGTCAGTCGCTGCAAGAGTTCCAGCTGAATTCTTCTTAGAGAACAAAAGACTGTCAAACATATCTTTGAGACACACCCAAGGGCACTCCACAGGTGGTTCTCTGAAACGATGCTCATGAAGGGAGTAATCCACACTCTCACCTCAACTTTCAATTGCATTTGTTAATTTTCTTTCATCTTGATCTAAAAATGGCTGTCTTCTTTGACCTGTTCTGAGTAACTAAGATGAGGACCATATCATAAGCAAGACTAGGGAGAACTTCCTCAACATTATAAAGAACTTCTTCGCAAATTCAGATCAGAAAATGAGAATCGCAAAGTTACACGTAATCACATCTCAGCTTGTAATTACAGAACTTAAAAGACCTCTATCTGATCTATTCGTATTCTGAAAGCATATCCAATACAGTTCCACAGGTTTCTGAGAACTTCAAATAGTGTGCCAATCACATCTCAGCTTATAACATTAAATTCTTGAAGGACCTTAATCTACTTTGCTTCATGTTCTAAAAGCATATCAGAATCTGAGACTATACCAGAGTTATATCTAGTTCCACAGGTTTCACCAACAAAACTACTTGTCAGTGACTCCTCTTCTACGCCTTGGTTAGTATCTCTATATAACCCCCTACTACGATCTAGAAAACCTTGCTTCATCATGTTCGCAAATTTCTCCCTTATGTGAACAAGGGGATGCTTCTCAATCAGTTGATCGCGATTATAAGCCTCTCTAAGGACGACAGTCTGAGTGTCACCCTTCATAGAAATGTAAAAAATCCCAGGATGCCGCTCAAAGACCTTTGTGAACTTCTGAGGCAATTCAAATGGCTTGCGGAGATTGCTAACGTTTCTCCTCTCTGTTTTCTTTTGTAAGATGAGGTGCAGAAGCTCGTTAAACACTCCAACAATTCTCTTCTCTGACACATCTGTCCTTGGGTCCAAATGAGAGGCATCCACATAAGGAGAAGTATAAGGCAGCTTTTGCCATTCCTCCAACCATTCCATGCATTTTCTCTTTAACCCGAAACCCCGGGTGAATCCAATAGGAAACATCAAGGTCCCATTTCCCCTTGTAGAATTTGCCTCCAAATGGGAAACAGCTAATTTGTGATCCCATGCTAAAAGCTTAAGACCAACACGACCATCGGGAAGGTCCACCAAATTAAACAGCTCAGGATGTTTTATAACCAATGAACTACCACAATCATGTGGCAAGCCTAAATCCCATTTTAGTTGATCAACTGTCTGAAGAGGAAGCATCCTCTCCTTGGTCATCATCAAAAGCTTTCTCAGCCTACTAACAATATCCGTGCTGCACTCGCGGAGAACATTAACTTCTTCATGATGAAACTCTAGGGTCTCAGGAGTTAATTTGAACCACGGAACAGGAGTGCCAGCACTATCACGACAAGAAAATTCCTCAAAAATATTTGGGTATCGCCTAAGGAAAGTGGAGATTTTCAATTCATGAGGGAGCCCAAGCTGCCCACGCTTGGTTGTGAGATGGTAAATAGGAAGACCAGAACTGGATTGTGAGGCAATGATGGAAACTAGTGTAGATCCCGCCTTTAGTTCTCTGCCTCCAGCTACTACACTGTCCAAGACACTATCTTTAACCCATTTTAGCTTTACATTCACAAGAGTACGCTTCTGATGGTAATTCAATATCGAGACAATGCAACCTTCTTCTACCCTCCTTAGCATTTCAGTAAAGGCTATCTTTCTCTTGTCCACTCAAGTTATGCTTAAATCTTGTATATAAATGTAGAAGATTCTACCATCTGGAGAACAGATTAAAGAAACTAAGGTCCAAAACCCAGAATGAAACAAAGGCCCTTAAAGAGCTCTCATCAATATGGAAAAGATCTAAGGCTTATTTTCAAGTCCGATTGCTCCTCCTCACCTTTCTTTGGAGTGCTTAGACAAATTCTGGATATGGAGTTGCCAGACGCTGGAAGTAGTACAATCAGATGACTGACCACTCAACCGCGAAATAACCTGAAAGGCTGGAACTTCCCAAGTGAAAGAAAAGATTTTGTTCCATAGCCTTTTTTTCCCCTCCAAAAGTCAATCTGAAGTGAAGACAAAACAAGGAGCACTTAGTCAAATATTAATTATGCTTAATAAAAAGAAGAATAGAAGCAGATTAAACTAATAGAATTCCACCAAATTGAAAGAAACCAACCAAATGTCATTTTCTTGTTAATATCAATGCTAATTAATGTCACTAGCAATTTTTCTCAGGCATCTTGGCTTTACTGCGTTAGTGAGAACTATACTGTGCTGAGAGGGTGCAAACTGGATATGACCTACTAGGAAAACCATATAGTTGTCTGCTTGTACTACTTCCAGCGTTTTAAGAGGTGTAAATATTTTTAGAAAAAATAGGGATAGCACTATTATATTTGTGAGTTTCGAAAAATAAAAATATTGTGTCAAATACGTAAAATTTTTAGTCATCTCACTAAATAATTAGTGTTCATTTCCTATTTAAGAGTTTCATAAGATATATACTTCAAAGATATTTATTCTCTTTTTTAATCAAAGGTTTGAATATAGATTTCAAAAAAAAATAATTATACTCTTTTTTAAAATTCATAAAAACAAATACATAATAACTTTTCATTTATAGTTTTAATTTATCTTATAATAATTATATTTTAATATGGGATATACTTCATATTTATAATAATTATATTGTAACGTGGGAATTATTTCATATGGTATATTGTATAGGATTTTCATAGTATAGGGGAAGTGTTTGATTTTGAAATACAGGGAGTGTGTCTGAAACTACAGAAGTATTTAGTGTAATTAAAACTCTATTTATTTATGTAATGCTTTTCGGGCTGTCCCGTCTCTAACAGACGGATACTTGATCTGGCCAAAGTGAAAGATAGCACAGAAATATGCCCTAGATCTATTGCCTCGTGCAGACATGCTTGATTCTCGTCCTTTGGCCACTCCTCTTACTAGTGGTACCGAGCTTCCCAAGTTGGATGTCACTTCCCTCTCTGATCCCACCTATTTCATTCTTCTATTGAGTCGGCTAACTGTAACTATAAGCGTGCTAGTTCTTCTCCTTCTTGTATAGCTGCGACGTAACGACATTTCTTCGTTGGGTTCAAGGTCAGTTGCACTTACGCTTGTTCCCTTGATTCTCTCCTCTTGTGGACTTTGGTAATCCCTTTCTTGAGGAGCTGTCATGTGACTGAAACGGGTAGGTAGGTGTAAATGGGTTGTGGGGTTGGGGGAATGGTGGTGTGGGGAGGGGAAGTGGATGTATTAGTGTAGCTAAATTTTCTTTTTCTGCTCTGTTTCTTTTATATTTCCAGCATTTATATGTATCTCAGTATCTGCACTGTCTTTAGGAGATGGAAATTACATCCTTAATTTTATTAGTATATTGTAATTCAACTATAGTCTTATAATAAGAAGATTTTAAAATCCTCCTCTGTCAACATAAATATGCTACCCGAAATGAATTCAACTTAAAGAGCCAAGTTAAGACTATTACCTTTAGTACTCCCTCTGTTGACACTTTTATCAATGTATGGCATAGTTTGCTTGACACGAAATTTAAGAAAGGAAAATTTTTGCCACTTGTAGTTTTAAATATGCCAAAACACTTGGGTGTCTATAAAAGCTTCTTGTTAAGGTAAACTAATTTTACATTAATTATTTCTAGATATAAAAGATGTCATTCTTTTCAGCAAACACATAATATGGAAAAGGTGCCACCAAGACTTAAAGTAAATTCTTCAGAGTGATATTTAGACTGCTTATGTTGTATGCGATGGAGTGTTGGCCAATTAAGAACTATCATGTCTAGAAGTTGAAAGTAGTGCAAATGAGAATATTGAGGTGGATGTGTGGGCATACTAGGAGAGACAGGATCATGAATAAAAATATTCGGGACAAGGTAGGGTAGCTCTCGTGGAGGATAAGCTGCGAGAAGTGAGGCTGAGATGGTAGGGGCATGTGAGGAAGAGATGCCCTAGTAAGGAGGTGCGTGAGGTTGCACATGGTGAGTCCATCGAGGGGAAGAGAAAGGCCTAAGAAGTATTAATGAGAGGTGATTAGGCATGATATGATACATTTTCAGATTACTGATGACATGACCCTTAATAGGAGGTTGTGGAGGTCGAAGATTAGGGTAGAAGGTTAGTAGGTAGTAAAGCATATTTCCCTTATATACTGGTAGCTTTAGTATTACTCTAGTTGTGGCTTATTCTTGGATTCATATAATTACATGATATTGCTTTTGTTTCGGTTGTTAATATCCTGCTATTACTTATGTTTCCTTTCCATGACTTGTTCATTTTTTATAGTGCATTTCTTTACTGCTGATATTGTGCTTACCTAAGCTAAGGGTCTATAGGAAACAGATTCTTTACCTGTACAAGATAGTAGTAAGGTCTACGTACACACTAACCTTCCCTGACCCCATTTGTAAGTATATATTGGGTATATTATTATTGTTGTTGTATACTTAGGTATAGATGTACCTCATAAGGGGTGCATATGTAAGAATTTCATAATATAGGGGATAAGTGTTTGATTTTAAAATATAGGAATATATCCAAAACTAAGTCATGCCATATGGGTGTTTCAAATAGATAAATAAATAAATAGTTCAAGGTCATTCATAGTATATTTGCTTTGGTTTTTTCTTAGAATGAAAGTAAACCAACTATTACATTATTTGTGTGCATATACAATCAAACCAAATCAAGTAAAGTTTGTTTCTTCTTCGATTTCTGTAAGGCCCCATAAAATTTCGCCAAGGAATTTAAGGTTTTGTGGTGCCAAAGTAGACTACGGCACAAACTTTTTGGGTTGAAAAATGCATTGAGGAGTTTGTGAAAATTTTGGCAGAAGAAGGCAATTATGCGGTCTGTTTCGCGACTGCATATTTATCGCGGAGTTGAGCAGAAAATTTGTTGAATTTTGAAGGTCATTTTGTGGTCCATTATGCGATCGCAAATCCGTTTCGCGGTTCGCACTTCCGTCGCAAATTTAGCATGAAGAATTTCGAAGAGTGATGCTACGGTCCATTTCGCGGCCGCATAACTGGTCTCGGACCGCAGACCTGCCCAGACCAACCTAGTTTTTGGGATTGTTTTTGCGGGCCACATACTTGTTCTGCGATCCATTGTGCGATCGCAGAGTTGAGTTCGGAGGGTCCATTTTCTATTTTTATAACCCGACCCCATTTCTTATAAAACGACTTTGGGGTAGGGATGGGCGTCGGTCGGTTCGGTCGGTTATTATGAAAGTACGGTTCGGTTTATCGGTTTTCGGTTTTGTAATATTAATAACCAAATCAAACCAAAGTATTTACGGTTCAGTGCAGTTTTTTCAAGGTTCGGCTCGGTTATTTCCGGTTTAGTTTTTCGGTTATTAATGGTTCAAGATTTTGATTAATACAGCAAGTTGCTGAAACATGTTGGTTGCTTTTCTGATGGAGTTTTCAGTACAGGTTAAAACCAGAAACTGGGGTTGTTACCACTCAATGGAACAACTTTATGAAAATGTACTATCATGATAATGATAGCACATACGATATACGAGGAATCGTTACAATGTTTATTCAGGCGAAATTGGATTAATAGCAGAACTGACGGGTTCAAATTCATAATAGAAAGCATGATATATAAGAAAACATCTGAATAGCAGCAAATTGTAGTGCATTTACGCAGAGAGCAGAACTATATATGCCCAATTGACTTATATTATATGACAAAGTACAAAATACCCGTGCAAACCGAGATCCTTTTGATCGTCCAAGTAAACTGTCACCAGTAAACAAACTAAAATCATAATTATAATACAAAAACTAAAAAATGGTTGCTATATTAAATTATGTTAACTGTAGTTTCTCACTAGAGTTGTTACCACACATCAATCCTTGAGGTATGAGGTTCGAACTTCACTAGCTTGTTTGGGTATGAGTCCAAAATTTCAGTTTTTTGGTTTAACCGAAAATCAAAACACCAAAATCGTAAACCGCACCGAAAACCGGAATTTAATAATTTAAAAACCGCACACCGACCGAATAACCGTTTAAACCGAAACCGAAAAATCGAAATTCACGGTTCGACCGATTTTTTCGGTTCGGCCGGTATTATGTCCACCCCTACTTTGGGGTTATTTTGGCCGGGTTAAACATATATTTTAGAGAGAGAGGAGTACTTTAGAGAGAGAGGAAAGAGCCCAAGTGCATTGATCATTAATCCCTGCCCCAGTCTTGAAGATTCAAGGGAATCATTCACTAGACCATCATCTACCCGGATAAGACCTTGTCCTAAAACCTTTGTACAACTGTTATAGGTTTAATTAGGTTATGGAGCTGGAGATAGGCCATGCATGTGACATTAGGTGGTAGTAGGTGGGGTTGTTGAATTATTTTGAGCAGTTTCTTGTTGAAATTGGTTGAGGGAGGAAGGGATTACCATTGTGACATTATTTAAAAAGGGATTGATTTATTGATTTTAAGGGGTCGCCACTTGAAATTATTTATTTCCGGTGTTCCAAGTGAAGACCGGGTAAGGAATTCTATTAACCCGGCTGAAGGTCTAAGGCACTCTCGGATTCCGTGGTTTTAGCACGACCGTTTAACAATTATACGTGGCATAGTTCATCCGGATTATTACATGTTTTTATGGAATTGCATTTTCATTTCCACCTTATACCGCCTTTAATTACATATTTTAATGAATTATGGAATTTATTTTGATCAAGTCACGTTGTCGCGCACTTGTTGTTTGTACGCGTCGAAAATCATGCCACGCGTACATACCCATGATTTAATGACCTGTTTATTGTTATTTGAAATTGAAAGATCAAGTCGCATAAATGCGCACTTGAATTTTGGAATTAAGTATCGCAGTTATGCTACGAGAACCGTACCCATAACCATGATGATTGATTATTTTACGTGCCTAAAAGCATGCTAGTGATTATGAGTTATTTTTCTAAACTAATTTGAGATTGTTGTAAGGTCATAAATTATGGAAGTTGTTGTGGAGAAATGATGTGACTTAATTATTAAGCTAATGGGCCAAGATATGGAGGTGACTGGCATCATTCAATATGAAAGAAGTGAGCCTGCTTGTGCTTATTCTATTTAAGGAAGTGGGCCAAATTTTCTTTATCTTCTCGTTGAAAATTATTTCAAGCAGCCCCCATTACTATACTAAACTTAGGCCCAAAATCCATTGAGCACTATAATGTTACTCTTAAAGCCTAAGCATTCACCTCAGTGAAGCCTACTGCAGGATATCAAAGATCTAGTCTAACCAGTAAACTTATTGCAACGTGATTTCAACTCAACAGTACTCGAGCAACAATCAAAAGAGTAAATCTCCTCAAATAAAATTTCTACAAAGAAATCAATAGTCAAGCAACAATCAAAAGTGTAAATCTCCTCAAATAAAATTTCTACAAAGAAAAGAGAAAAGACTTAGACTTTTACAGCAACGCATTAATTCGTTAACATGTACTAAACAAAACAAAGAACATCCAAAAATATATTCAACAGAATTATCTCACGAAGAATAACATGAATTCATTTGAGCAATGCACAAAATAAGATTAAAATGCTAGGATTAGAAAACGAACCCTTACATTGGCCGAATCCAAACTTTAAACTTCTATAACTCAATAATCGAGCCGAGGATAAGGACCACGCCTGAAAACCAATGACGGCGACCTCAAACGAAAGCTAACACGCCAAACCCAAAAGGAATCGCGAACGATCGAGCTAGCGAAGAACAGAAAAATAGATTATGCCCGTTTGTGGTTCTTTCTTGTGGTATTTTCGGGTTGGTTTATAGCTGGTTTTTGGGGCTGTTTTTGGTTGATTTTTGTGGCTGATTTTGCTGAGTTTTGGGGCTGTTTTTCAGCAGTTTCGCAGCTGGTTTTGCTGCTCTTTGGGCTGGATTTTGGTCCCCTTTTCAGCTCGATTTTGGTCTGATTTCGCAGCTGGTTTTGCTGCGTTTTGGGGGTTCTTTTAAGGTGGAAGGGAGCTGGTTTTGGGGGCTGATTTGAGGTCGTTTTTGGGAGAAAACAGTGGTGTTTTGGTGGAGGAGGGATAGTGTTTAACAGGGGAAGAAGGTGTTCTTTTACATTTGCTTATTTTGGTGGTTTGGTGGAGCTTTTATGGATGAAACAATGGTGGAGAAAGCTACTGCAATTTTGTTCGGAGAAGGAGATAGCTGCGCTTTTTTTTTTTTTTTTTTTT